TTTTTTGAAATACCTTCACTCACCCAAACCCCCCCACCCAAAAATCGTTTTTTTTTTAAATACCTTCACTCACCCAACCCCCCCCACCGCTAGAACATGGGAATATACAATCCTACCCAAGAACCGGGTGGGGCTGGGGTTGCGCCGGCCCCATGGCGCTTCCCGAATCCCCAACCCCCCTCCCCACTGGCCACTACGCGTCCGCGAAGTCGCGAGGCCGCGCGGACATGTCCACGCGGGTCGGCGGACTGGCCGCGTCCGCGGATTTTCGCCGCTCTTGGCCACCGCCGAGGGCGATTCATAGCCAATGACGACCTTGTTTTTTTTTGTTCTGCTCCAATCTATTCGTGGGGAGCAGCATGTGCCGGGAATCGGGCCCAGCGTCCCATATGAAGACATGTACAAAACAATTTATGATATGAACCAATTGAGGTACGGGGGCCATTTGCCCGGTTTCAGCTTTGAGAGTATCCTCCAAGATTCAGAATAAGTTACTGGACTTCAGGATAGATGATGAGAAGACTACGGATCCTTTTTTATGATCGCTAAACACCTCCTGAAATGCACCGCGATTTTCAGAACACTCGAGTATCTAAGGGATTTCCAACAGATCATAACCAAACAATGATATACCCGCAAAATGAGTGAAAAACTTCAGAAAAGGTATTTTTGCCTTCTTGGTGACTTGGTCCACACAATCAGAGTTGAATCAGGCAACCATCGGCATCCGCTGTCAGCGATCAGGGTGGGTCTGGTCCTTGGCCTCCACAACACCCTGGGCTTTAAAATAAAAGGGGGTGGGGAGAGGTCCACGCAATCAGAATACCGCAAGCAGATCTTCTGACCCTCTTGGTCCAATCAACGCAGATATTGGATAAGGGAGAACTTCAGAAAAGTGTCCTCTAAGATTTCGTCTAGTATCAGAAAAAACTGCAGACTGCCGGTTGCAGAAAAATGCGGTCCACAACTGAATTGACAATAGCGAGTCAGGGGTGGTGAAAAAGTGCAGCCCCAAACCCCTAATTGCAGGAAAGGTCCCCTTTCAATTTTCAAACGCCAGGCCCGTTTGGCCTAAGGCCGGGTCCAGAAATATGGGCCACACCTTAGACCTACCCTGCCTGGCGGGGACGGGGGGACGTCAATTCAAAGTACAGTACTTTACCCACTGTCCTTCCCCCTTCCCGTGTCGTGCAGATCCAGGTCAGTAAGCAGGCTCTTAGCCATCTCCGATGGTGTATGTGATCTCTCTCTCTCTCTCTCTCTCTCTCTCTCTCTCTCTCTCTCTCTCTCTCTCTCTCTCTCAGACTGTGTGTGTGTGTGTGTGTGTGTGTGTGTGACACTGTGTGTGTCTGTGTGTGTGTGTGTGGATGTGTGTGTGCCAAGGAGGGGAAGGGG